CCCTCGAAGCCGCCTTATCCTCTGCGGAGAACCGCGGAAGCTCAGAGTCGCTGGCCAAGAACTTTGGTCGCACAAAGATGTTTGTGCCGTCGAGGAGCCATCCTAGTGCGGGCGAGAACCCATATTTCGAGGGCCCGATGGGCATGTTGGCTGCGCCGATTGATCATATTGCGGATATCTTCCGGAAGTTCCCCGAGGGAACGGTTAGTCCGAATCCGAGTAAGAAGTGAGGGTGGGATAGGTAGTTGAATGTGAAACTGTACTCTATGTTATGGATCTGTGGATACTTGAGAATACGTGGCATAGGCCGTGATCACGTGTGGTTCTTCGAGCAGTAAACAAGTAGGAATGCGCCACCTGTACAAACATCACGGCAACCACAACATATGTAGATGGTCATGTTGAACGTATCAATTCGCATAGGTATTCGAAAGGAGACGTAAATGCGAGTATTGTACAAGAAAGAAGGTTCTCGCTCGCTCGCTCACTCTTCGCCATGCTATGCTATGCCATCCCCGTCGCTATGCGTAACGAAAGTGAACAGAGAACCTCCCCTTAAACGCCAGCCAAGCGCCAAACAACATTGAACAACAAAAGAATGCCACGTACTATCTTAACCAATCCAGTACTCTGCGAATGCGTTTGTGTTCGCGCCTGACCCTGCCACCGCCTTGTGGGGATGGACGATGATCGAAACTGTGCTCCAGTCCACTGCTACTTCGGCGGTGGCGCCTCGAAACGAGACGTTGAGGCGGGGAGCCAGGGCTTGGACTCTCCGGAAGGCCAGAGGATGCGGTATGTCGGTCTTTCCAAGGGTTGCTTTTATATTTGTGGGATATCGGATCTGCCAAGTAGTGTAGTGGCTTCTCCGTCGTGGTGTCCTCCAATACGAACTTGAAGGACTTTTCTTGTGTTCTTCGTCGTTCTCTAGAACCCAACTAGCATAAGCACATGCTCTGCATATCCTCAAAGGAATGATAACATGCAGCATCATGTGCAAATCTTTTCACTGTGATCACCTTCCTCCGTCGTCGATCTCAACCTTCCTGGGCCTGTCGCGTTCGCGCTCGCGCTCTCGCTCTCGCTCGCGGTCGTCGTAGTCGCTCTCATCGTCGTAGCGGCGACGTCGCTCACGATCGTGGTGGCGACGCTCTCGGTCGCTGTCACGCTCCTCATCATCCCTATCGTCCTTGGAACGGTGGCTTCGCCTGTCGCGGTCGTCACGGTCGCGGCGGTCATGGTCGTACTCCTCTTCTGCGGGTATGTTAGTATTGATCGTGAAACAAAGCCCAATGTCAACGTACCTCTGCTCTCGCGGATCTTCTTGGTGCGATCAGCGAGCTTCTGGATCTCTTCCTTGGTCAAGACACGCAGCACGATGACACAGTCCATCCGCTCTTCGAAGCGCTCCTTGGCTTGCTCCAGGGCTTCAGGGTTGACGAGACGACGATCGATCCTTGTCCATCGGGCTCCGACAGGAATGTCTTTGCCCTTGAGGGCATCTTTATGTGGCGCTACACCCTCGCGGATGGGCTCGGGGTCCTCGGGGAACTTCTCAGTTGGCTTGCGAAGGATGCCCTTGACGGGCGCAACGGGCTCCTTGGGTGGTTCGACAATCACTACGCTCTTGCCTGTGGACTCCCTCTCCATTGATTCCGGCTCCTGCACCATGCCTCCGTCATATGTGCTCAGAGGGCGATCCCTGGGAGGAGACGCACGCGAGCGGTCTTCGGGACCTCGAGACCTGTCACGCTCATCCTTCTTCCTCCGTCGCTCCTTCTCGCGATCAGAGTCGCTGTCCTTGTCGCGAGTGCTGCGACTAGAACGTTCTGCTTCCTGCTGAATGCGTCGTCGGTACTCCTCGTCAGGGTCCAGAGCAGCTTCCTGGGGTGCGGGGTCCCTCCGGCGTTCGGCATCGCGATCAACGTAGTGACGTGGTCGCTCTTCGTCGCTTCCCGCAGTAGACGGTGCAGGTGCCTTGCGAGAAGGAACCTTCTCTCTCTCATCATCTTCGTATCGACGCTCGCGAGGCTGAGGTATGTAGTCGGGTTGCATCGGAGGGTAGTCGGGCGCTGCGATAGCTGCGGGGGCAGCGGCTGGGGCAGCAGCCGGGGGCGGTGGAGGCGGCACAAGCGAGTTGCGGCGGCCTTCGGACTTCCTCTCTCGTCGCTCATCAGGACGGTCTCGCTTGTCACGCTCATCGTATTCCTTCCGTCGCTCACGCTCACGCTCTCCTGACGAGTCTCGGTCGCTACCACGGTCCTTGTCACGGGCCTTCTTCATGTAACCAGCGCCGGCCAGGGTCGCTGCTACGCCTGCTGCTGCACCAGTTATGGTTTGCACCAAGCCACCCTTTTCTTCTCGGCCGCTCTCACGCTCACGGGGGCGCTTTTCGTAGTCCTGCGGTGGAACGGGATCTCTGTCACGGGATGAGCGAGGTTCAGGCATGCGTGCCTCGGCGCGGTCTGGCTGGTAGTAGTGGTTGCTAGACTCTTGTGGCCTCGGTCGAGGAGGTTCGGCAGGAGGGTATAGAGGCTGTCGGTCCAGAGCGTGGTGGTCGTGTGCGAGGCTTGGGGGGCCTGGTGCAATGCCGAAGCCACGGCTGGTCACTTCGCGGTCCTCAAAGGCGGTGCTGTGGCGCTTGTTCTCGACACCACGGCTTGGGCGGTCGTAGTCATCGCGGTAAGCGTCTCGGCGGGGCTCCTGATGAATGGCGGCAGGAGCGCGGGAAGTGCGAGAGGAGGAGGATCGTGCGAGGCTTGAGTCTGGGTAGGGATCGTACTTGGGAATTTCGCGTGCCCCTCGTTCAATCGAGGATGATCTGTCGTGGGGCCGCGGGATGCTGTTGATCTTGTCGAAGCCACGTGTGGACGGGGGAGGACCAAGTTCGCGAGTAGAGGTACGAGAGGGACGATCCGCAATCATGCTGGTGGGGCGGGAGCCACGTTCCAAGCTGCCAGCACGTGGCCTCCGCCAGGCTGGCTCTGTGTCACGGTACATGCTCGCGGGGTCCGTGTAGGAGTAGCCATCGCTGTTGCTCAGGTCGGTAAGGCGCGACGGGGGCTTGCTACTGTCGTGGTAGCTGCGGCCGCCACTTGTGATACTGTAACCCCGGTCTGCATGATCCCGGTGGCGTGCGGGCTCGACCTCAGCAACGAGCTTGGTCAGGTGGCTGCTGTCGTCGACGCTGTAGACCTTCTTATGGCCTCGTGAAGCGGCCGGGGTGATGTAGGTATCGGATCCCTTGGCATAGGAGGGCGTGAGTGGGCTCCGCGGTCGTTCGGTGTGGGTGTGGGACGAGTATGGGGTGCGGAGTGGCAGCGAAGTCGTCGGCAGGGCGCTGGTGCTCACATTGGGGCGGGTCAGGTCGTTGGTGTTTCGCCGTGGACGTCCAGTGTACGAGTCGTACTTGGTGCTGCTCGCGTGGGAAGAGGTCGTGGGGCTGGGCGTGTAGTAGGGCGTGTGGTGCGAGGCGTGCGAGGTGTGGGAAGTTCCAATGCGGTCGACGCTGGAGCGTGGCGAGCTGGGACGGCCATAGTAAGACGAGGTGTAATAGGGGTCGGCGAAGGTGCCCGTCGAGGACCTGGCGGGGTTGGAGTAGCGGCCCCGTGGGGACGAGGGGCGGTTGTATCGCGTGTCCATGCCGCCTGATAGGGTGACGGTCTTGATATGGAGCGGAGCAGTTTTGGCAGCAGTTTTGGCGGCGGGTTGGGTGGACAGCGAGTTACGGCGTGGGGGAAGGGGCGGCGCAACGGTGCTAGAATAAGTATTCGACCTCAGGCCAGGCGGCTTAGTGGGGAGGAGAACGCTGCCCAACATCGTGTCAGCCCAGCCGTGGTTTCAAAAGGGGAAATGGCAGGAAGGCAGGTGAAGAGAAGAAGAGCAAATGGCACCAACGAAGGAGAATTAGAAATTAGGCCTGGCGAAGAAGAAAGCCGCAGCTGGACGTACATAAGGGCGTTTCGACAGCGAGGATGCAGCCGGTGGGCTCAGCCAAGTAGGGTCGACGACTAGCAGCGCGAACAGGTTGCCCGATGGTTGTAGGATAGCCCAAGTTCCCTGGCGTGAGTGGTGACAGGGGGCGGGGGTACTGGCACGGTGTAAAATCAACGTGATATTTGCAGGCGGCTCCCAGGGTGTGCCCAGCAGCGTGCTATGGGCTCTCGTGGTGGGGACCGCGAGGCAGCGAATGAGGCGGACAAGCGCGGTGGGGGGCTAACGGCCGATGTGCACACGGCGATGGGAGCGATGGGGTGCAGCGCGCGACACGAGATGGACAGTAAGGATAGACAGCAGGAGGGTGAGGATTCGGTCGGGTACAGAGAGCGTGCCCAGGCCGCCGCCCGCCTGGTTTCGAGGGTGCGTGGAGAGCGTCAGATTGCACTATGTCATCGCCCTCGCTTGGGCCCGCGCACCCCTGCAGGCACAGCCACTCAGCAGCCGGCATGGCTCGCCGCACAGAAACAGGGTCCGCTCCTCCTACCAGTTGACTAGATTTCAGACTAGCTGCAGAGGATTTACCACGTTCCACCGCGACGCTTCACTCTACCCAGGTGCCCACTGCTGCCACAGGCACGTCAGCACATGCGCCCTCGACCTGTCAACAACGTCGCCCCGCCGCCTAGCTGCCCTCTCTAGCTGTTACAGACGTCTTCCGCCGCCCAACTGACCCCGCTAGCTCGGGATAGCCCTGTGATACCCAACTTGACCGCCAGGTCCGCCATGGCCTCGTGACTCGTCCGGTGCGACTGCCCTGCGCGGGCCGACTCAGCTCCTCGTTCCGTTCACGATCTTCGCTGTATGAACACGTCGTACAGATCCTGATGCACAGTGTAGTCTCATGTTCGCGATCGATTGGTCTAGCTACACGGCCATGGCTTCGGCATCTCTCAGCTACCGAAGCACTCCTCGCGGTACTAATCCGCCGGACGCGCCGCAACGTAAGCACTGAACATTGGCTGCTTCTTGCTTTTTGCCATCGCCTCCTCCCGCCCGATGCTCTACACATCCTCGATCTGCTCAACCCGTGAAGCCTTGCCCACGCCGCTTTTGGTCGAATCGGCATCGTCCGTGGCGTGATGGTGCCTGAGCTGCTTCGCCCGCGACTTGCTCGGCACCGTATCCTGAATGCAACCCCTGATGATGTTGCCCTCGAACAGCTCGCCGATGGACTCCAGTCGCACTCCCTTCGTCTCAGGCACGCAGAACACCGTCCAGACACCCATGACAATGCACAGCGAGCCGAATAAAAGAAACGTTCCGTACGTAATGTTGTCCAGCATCAGGGGGGTAATCTTTGCGATGACAAAGTTAAAGAGCCACTGCGTCATCAACGAGGCCGCCATGAGCAGAGAGCGCACGTGGTTAGGACTGCACTCCGATGCCAGCACGAATGGGATCGGTCCCCACCCGAACGAGTAGAACACGACGAAGAGATAGACGCACATGATGGCGAAGATTGCGTTGCCATCCAGCTCACCTGTGGGTGGGTGGACTGCCTGGTTGACGCCAATGTAGTACATCGCAAAGGCTTGGCCCATCGAGCCGAGGATCAACGACCACTTCCTTCCGAGTTGCTCGGTGAAGGCCATCAGGCCAATCGCGGTAACGGCGATCTTGACGATACCGTATACTCCAGTTGCCTAGTTGCATGTTAGTCTGGCTCGCATGCAGTCTTTACAAAATACGTACGAATAGCCCGGAAGAGTTGCCAGTGAGGCCAATCTGCTTGAAGATTTGCGGCGCATAGTAGTTGATCGAATTGGTACCTAACCAACACGTCAGTATATGCCTCAAATGCAGATTGCATGTCGGAACTTCTTACCGGTCCACTGTTGCCAGAACATGAGGATTACAACAAAGCTCGAGCGGTACAGCATCTTCTTGCTCGAGCAGGCAGCCCTGAGCTGAGCCATCATTGGCATCTTCTCATGGCCGTTAAAGTCCGCAATGATCTCGTCTAGCTCCTGCACCACCTCAGGGTTCTCGACGCTCTTGCCGCGGACGTGGGCCAAAGCTTTGGCGGCTTGGCTAAGCTTGTTCTTCTCGACGAGCCAGCGGGGAGACTCATTCATGAAGAGCATGCCCACAAGCAGGAAGGCGCCGGGAAGCATCTGGAGGGCAAATGGCACACGCCACTTTGTCGCGTCTGTGGGGCTAGGGATGTCGAGCGATATGCCGTAGTTTACGAAAAAGGACAGACATATACCAGTCACGTTGAAGAGTTGCTGCTAGCGTTAGTGGGTCGGTTCCAGAAAAGCAGTCTTGACAGGTCATACCATGCAACCAATACAACGTCCTCGGATGGCCCTTGGCGCATTCTCTCCAATATAGGTAGGGACGACCGCTGAAATCAGACCAACGCCGAAACCGCCAATGACGCGTCCAATGTAAAGCTGTGTGAGACTTGTCGTGCCAATTCCGCATAAGGTTTGGATCAAAGACCCAAGGATGAAAATGACGTCCGCAATGATTAGGGCCCATTTGCGCCCAAAAGTATTTGAGACGTAGAAACTAGACAATGCACCAAAGAAACACCCCGCCTGAAGAACAGAGACGATGTTTCCCTGTAGGTTGGCAAAGTCTTTGCTGTCCTTATCTAGGGCGAATGAGTGCTGGAACGCGTCCATCGTTAATACACCTACAAGCGCGTTAGCCATGATCATTACACGTGCGGATACGCAAACATACCTCCGATAAGACCCGTGTCCCAACCGAACAGCATTCCACCAAAGGAAGCCACAGCGGTGAGTACATAGGCGCGACGGTACGTCTTGATGTCCGCCCACACCTCAGACATGTTGAGCTTGGCCATGATTGCAGCGCGTCGCAAAGGAAGCCAAATATGACAGAAGAAAAGCCCGACGCGAATGCGATGGCGATGCGACGAGCGGTCAAAGACAGTGATGTCGATCTGTCAATGTACCTAGGTAAGGTAACATCGCGGCAAGCATCCGACTATATATCGTCAGTTTCCCCAGCCTCGCAGCGCCCAGCTAGCCAAACTCCGAACCCAAAACCCGCAGGCAAACGGCGAAGCCTATTTGGCTTGGCTGTCGGCATAGTGCAACGCGACGTCGGGGATATGACGTGGGGACGTATCGTGGGGACTCCAGATGTGCCAGTCACAGGGCGGAAGGCCCCATAGCTGGTGGGTCGGCATGGCGGGTGGTAATTATCCTTCCATTCAAACGCCGTTGCTGCGATTGTGTTGAGGCTCTTGCTGTGAATCCTACAGCTGCAGTGTGGGAAGACGAGTCAAAGTTCTGCAGGGCCAAGGGACGGGATGAGTCGCTACCTGTGCAGTGCGGATGCAGTTTCTGAAGGAATGTGTGCGGACGTGTTCACGTGCGAAGATGTCGGGTGCCAGACTAGGCCCATGCTTAGCGTTGCTTACGGGCGGTGAGCTCGTCTTGTGCATGTGAAGAACCCAAACAGCAGCCGATAATTTCTTGAACATGCGATATTCTCACGATGCAAAGACCGACTCCAGATTTACTCTTACGGTTCCCCTTCTTCTCCACATTCCTTCAAAGACCGACCCCAGGTTTTCCTCCTCCACATCCTGCCTCCGCACGGAAGCTAGGCGATTGAAATTGCGACAAGCTTCTCATTGGCCTAATCACTAAGCAATCCATATGCCGAGCCAAGTCACCGGCTCCGACGCTGCCTCCTCTGTTCCTTAAGCCGACATGCGGCCTAGCATAGAGCGTGTCGGGACTATGTAAACGGCAATACACCAAGCTTTTTAGTTATAGCATTTCAGGTTCGCTTTCATGCAGAAGAATAGTTGCAGGCTGATTTTCATCATTTCTTGATTACCAAACTGAGTACATATGCTTCCTCTTCGAAGACCGATCGTCCAGACGATCAATCACAAGTTTGCCTTGCCCTTCTGTTCGGGTACTTGCGTCAACAGCTTATCACTCTGGATAGCCGACTTCAAGTTATCCAGGACTAATATCTCCATGTCGCGCTGAGAGCCGTCAGTCGTCGTTCAGAGTCAATGAGATGCGTGGACAGCGTCACTTACCTGTGTCTCGTATGTGCCGGTTCCAACGTGAGGCAGCAACACCGCCCTCTCGCACTCCAGTAGTTCCGGGTGGATCTTCGGCTCCTCCTCAAACACGTCCAGTCCACATGTCCAGACCTTGCCGCTCTTCAGCGCGTCCACCAGAGCGGCCTCATCGATCAATGCACCTCGTGCAGTGTTGACGATTATCACCCCGTCCTTCATTGTGTTGAACTGCTCCTTGCCAATGATGTGCGTAGTCGACGGGTTGAGTGCCAAGTTCAAACTGAGCACATCGGATGTCTTGAGCAGTTCCTCGAAGCTGACGTACTTTGCTCCATTCTCCTCGTTGGCTGGTAGTTGGTTGCGGTTGTGGTATTGTATCTTCATGCCGAATGCCTTTGCGCGATGTGCGACTGCCGAACCGATGCCACCCATGCCCAGGATACCGAGTGTCTTGTTCTTGGGGTCGTGACCGAGGGAGAAGTTACCGCGCCACTTGCCTGTACAATGTGTCAGAAATCGTTTAAGGAATATTTAGATATACAAACCGTTGTTGACTGCCATGTATGCTTGCTTGATATTTCGCAGCGCGCCTAGCATGAGCCATATGGCAACATCTGCAGTCGCGTCGTTAACCGCTATTGGCGTGCTCGAAACCGATATTCCCCTCTTTGTGCATGCTGCGACATCGATGTTGTTGTATCCCGCTCCGTTGTGGCAAACATACTTCAGGCTCTTAGGCAGAGCGTCGAGCAGTTCCGCGTTGAAATCTCCGGTAATCGGGTTTGAGTCGTTACTTCGGTAGAGAGCATAGATGCCGTCAAATTTACCGCTCTTGCACTTTGAGAGGAAGTCTTCTCGGTTACCATCGGGGTACTCGTGCAGCTTCGATGCTACTTGCGAGACCTGCTGCCATTCTTTTTGAGCGTGTGACAGCTTGCCGATAAGAAGTGCTGCTCGTTGCGACATGGTGGATAGGCGATGTGTGAAGGAATTTGAAGGGCGATTGAGTACTCTGGTAGAATGGAGGGGTCGAGAGGAAAGAGTTGCCGGTTAATGTTATCTTGAGCGCAGCGGCATTTGGTTACCTTTTATTACGTGCTGCCCAGATCCACCAACGGCGCTGCTCAAAGCGGCCTATCTCGGACCGAACTTGCTTGATTGGAACATCAAGCGTGGTAATTTACTCCGCTCAATTGAAAGCATGACAGTTTGTTATCCTCACTATTGTGTTGCTACAATCATCTGTGTATTGAGATGATGGAACCCCACCATCACGGCCTCGGCTGCCCCGCCATCGTCACTTCCAAAAGCTTATGCAGCGATGATAATATCCGGCAACAGGAACAAGTATTTGCCCAAACCTCCGCACAGCAGAAACGCTTCTGTTTACTATGATTTTTATTGCCTCCATTACGCGCCTGCTTCGCGTTGAATGATGACACGAGTATAGAACGCGCTCGGCATTTGATCTTGCCAGCCTATTCGAGTTCAAACGCCGACGAAACACGTGAGTAAGCTAGCCTCTTTCGCCGCACCAACACCAAACGAGCCAAGCGTGGTCTCAGAGCATCGGTGGTCTCTCATCTCCCGAGCCGAAGGATGCAGCTTCCAGACTCAGGCCGAACGCCTTCCAACATCAGGCAGCTGCAAGGCAAACATGCAAATGGCTGCCTACATCAGCCTGAACCTTATCGAACCTCGGAAACGGGCGAAATGAGCGAAATGATGCATCCGTGGCACCTATTCGGAAACTTTGGTGACTGTAGGGCGAGCACTTTACATCGCATGATATATAAGATCATGTAGTCTCAGGAAACAGAGTATCGCAAGTCGTCAGTGAGAACCAGCTTTCGAAACCTCATCACCCTCTACACTCATCGCAAGGAAAGCATCAAACATGGAACTCAAGAACATTGCAATCCTCGGTGTCTGTCTACCATTCATTCCCATCACATGTCACCTCCCTTCAAGCTGCTCTACAACGGCCAAAACTAACGTATATCTTAGCCGGGAGGCAACGTCGGAACTGCAATCATCACCGAACTCCTCAAAGACGAACCCCGCTTCACCATCACAGGCATCACGCGCTCAACATCAACCTACAAACCACCTCCTACCATCACCCATCGCACTGTCGACTACACGTCCTTTACGTCGCTCCAAGCCGCGTTACAGAACCAAGACGCAGTAGTAAACTGCATCACAGGCGGAGCCACTCATTACGAGCCATCCAAACTCATCATCGACGCCGCGGTCGCTGCAGGCGTCAAGCTCTTCTTCGCCAACGAATTCGTCGGAGAGATCACCCGGGAGGCGTTCAGGAGACTACCGGAAACTTTCGTTGGCGGTAAATGTAGGATCAGAGAGTATCTGGCGGAATTGGGGAGAGAGGGGAAGATGGCGTGGACGAGTTTGAATGGTGGGCCGTTCTTCGATATGTGTATGTAATTCCTCTAACTATTCGACTTGAAGCGTGATACTGATCAGCATATACTAGGGTTGATGAAAGGCCCTGCAGGCTTTGGTAATCTTCTCCCCATCAACTCCAAACCATCACCATCCCGCTAACATATGATGACCAGACATACCCAACCGCCGCGCCCGCATCTACGGCTCCGGAAACCAACCCTTACACTGGACACCCCTACCCACAATGGGCCTCGCAGCAGGAAACATACTCCGCAACCCTGACCTCATCCTCAACCGCCCCGTTCTCCTCGATCCCATTACCCCTTCCTCTACTGTCACTCAAAACACGTTGTTGCGCACCCTTGAAAAGGTTCTCCATACCACCTTCACCATCTCGCACGTCGATGTGGACAAGATCCACCGAAACGCTTTGGTCGTGTTGGAGAAGTGGAAGGAAGGCGGTGAGCTGGAGGAAGGGAAAGCGCAGATGGGTAAAGCGATGAAAGGGTTGGGCGTGTGTAACCAGTTTTATGAGGGCGATGATGAAGGTCATGCGGAGGACTTGGAGAGGACTGTTCAGAATGAGCTCGTTGGTGTGGAGACCATGCAGTTGGAAGATGCAGTGAAGGATGCGCTGGAGCGATATGGGCAGGACTGTCAGGTTGTTCAGGGTATGTACAACGTGGAAGCTTGTGAACTTTAAATGTTCTACTACTGCCAGTATGTGCTTCGGGTCTAGCATATCGTTACCAACATTAGAAATGCAATTATACAACTTCACCCTGGCATGGAATATGGGGCTTACCTCGCCGTGATGAGTATCATATCAAAGATGAAGCGCAAGGAGTCTCATGAAACCGCACTTATGCTAAGGTAGAAAACAGCAGCAACATGGGACACAGTCAACGGCTGCAGGAGTAACGGCAATCCTGGTACAGTAGTGTACACAGCAATTATGTGGTATACTACAAGCTTTTTTGGGTGTTGTACAACGAGACTGGGATTGCTGATTGCTCAGACATGCCGCTGTCATTCTATATTTTGTTCTAAACGCATGTCCTTGAAGGCGCAATGTTCATACCTCTTTCATCCACAGTGCTGGCGAATGTACGCGACACATCTAGCCACCACCTGGATCATACCCTTCATATCCTGGATACCCTTGCTGATCTGGATCCTGAAAAGCCGCTGGATCCCATTCCCAGTGATCGAAAGTTGATTCGTAGGGATTTCCATAGAACAGATTCAGAGGCTGACCGTATTCTGTTAGCCCAGTGGTGGGATCGTTCAAAATGTCGCCGCCAGGAGCGTCGTAGAGATCGAAGTTGCCTGTGTTGGACTGCGAGTAGATGTTGCTTTTGAATGGGTCAGCGCTTGGCCATGCAACATCTGACTGCTGCAACGTAAGAGGTTGACTGTACGGCTGATATCGCTGCTGTGAGTCAAAGGCCATATGCTCTATTTGTTGTTGCTTTTGGTGCTGATCCGTTATTTGTGGCTGAGGTAGTCGACGACGGGCCGCCTCTTCTTTGGTCTGCTTATTCATGACTCTGGCGATAACATTGTATGCGTTCTCGCTGACTGCGTCGACGGGTTTCATCGAGTTCAACCATCGTATGAGCTTATCGATGCAGGCTGTAATGTGTGACTTTTCGACCGTTAAGTGTATGCCGTCCAATGACAACTCAAGAAGTAAGACCGTAAGGGCTTGCATGACTATAGAGGTGGTTAGCCAAGCTCCATATCGCAATGTGTGAGGTTCTTACTTATATGAACAGCACACCACCACGGACCGTGTCCGTAAAACCACGCAGGATTGGGAGGATCTGGCAACATGGAAGTGAGATCTAGAGCTGCACCTATGCAGGCCTCAGCAGACTTCTGGTTGAATCGAGTCGACTGTTCGCTCTGGCCCTTTATGCGCATGTCTAGTCGGCATAGACAGGGCCGGGTGATGCAAATTTTGGCGTTGTGGTAATAGATGTAGAGCAGCACCTGCTCTCGGCTCAGGTTGCTCTCTGAAGTGGCAGCGGTCGCTGTTGCTGGACCCCGAACCAGGGAGTGCAAGGCCCAGGCTTCTAAATCGTCAGACAGCGAAGCAATCTCCTTTTGGGCAGCCTTCCAGGACTTGGCAGACTTTTGTGCGGAATACAAGCCAGACAAGATCTTGTCCATGAGGATATCGATCCTAACGTAGGCTACGTCAAACGGATCTACGCTGGTTTTGATCATGGACTCGCCAGTAGAAGACTCAGATGCCTGTCTGATTGCAGCTGATGTGGTGGTTTCACGAGACGATGAATCCAGTTCTGTACCCTTTGCGCCTGGTGGCGGTACAGTACAGTCAATGGCGCTTACAGTGCGTGGGCGCCCAGTTATGCAGGTAAGAACACATTCGATGGAGTAAAGTGACCACCAAATCTGGGCCAGGGCCTTCTTTCTCTTGGGAGACATGGAAGGGTCTTCGTGTCTGAGGTGCAAGCCTGCGGCCTGTGCGTGTCGAAGGGCGATGCCAATCATATACCAAGCTCTGCAACGTCCTTGTTAGCATACTTGCAGGCTACAAAGGTGAACGTGCCTTCGTTCATCCGAAGTACGACGTACCTGCTGACATGACCTATTGTCAAGTAGTAGAAAGACAGAAGCCCAAATGCCTAGACATAGGTCAAAAGATGTTGGGTCCAAATTCAATGGATTTTACCTGAATCAGCGCTTGATCTGGCTGCGCAACGAGAGTATCAATGCTTTGGAGCTGTAATAGATGGATTGCTCTCCACATATACACTAGGTGATCACGATCGTCGGCTTGCCATTCGTCGCCGATGAGATGAGAATAGCGTGCGCCAATAGCGAATACGAGGTTCATAACAGCTTTCCACTTTGGGCAGACGACCAGCGTAGGACTGCCCTGATCCTTGGCAAAGTACGTTTTCAGTTGAGCTTCGAACATGTCACCTAAGATGGGGAATGGGCTGTGCACAACTGCTTTGTAGTAGTCGAACAGCCTCTCGGCCGACTCAGCAGAGGGTATGACGTGTGGATCACCAACATCGATGTCGATGTTGGATTTGTCAAGGTAAAAGTAGTAGCCAGAATACTTGTCATGGTGCGGAGAAGGGCGAGTTTGGCTCTGTTGCTGACGCCCGTGGAGCGCTTCAGCACGCTGGTTAAAGGCGTCGCCGTCGATGCCCGGTGGCCCGTAAGGCATGTTGGCAGGTTCGCCCTCGGGCTGTTCGATCTTGGTTTCCAGGGCTCTGAGCCACTGAACGTGCGAATTGTGACCCATGTAGCCCGTGTTGTCTGCCTCATCCGTATTGAGAATGTCCTCCTGGACGAAGTCTAGGTCTTCGTTGGAGCCGACTGAAGCTGAGACGTGAGCTTCTCCGCCATCTACAGAGGTGGCGCTCAGAGCATCGTCATTGGGGGAAGGTGACGAAGCTCTTCTTGCGCGCTTGCCATGAGAGAGAGCAGGTGTTGGTGGAGGAGGCGGCGTGTCGTCTTCGAAAGATGCCAAGGTATCCTCAACTCTCTTCTTGCTCTCATCGTCAAGCTGGCTGCTCACTTCAATCAAGAGTGCAGTCAAGGCGTGTGATTTGCGTTGAGCTCTTTTACTAGTCAGACGGGGATGTGGAGCAGATGAACAAAGACGTGAACAGACCCTTTGAGGCGGTCCTTGCGCTCCAGGTCGTAGTGACAATCATTGTCCTGCCGTTGACAGTTGATACATTGCGGACGGTGGCCAGAGCATTTGATCTCTGGGGCTAGTCAGCAAGCCGAAGTGGTGCGAACTGGACATGAGGAAGGGCCCACTTCGTTTACGGCACTGCGTGCACTAGAAGCGGACGTCAGCACCGGCCCAATCGTACAAGAGAGTTTACTCACAGCCTTGCTCACTATTTCGGTGCGGACCCGAGGAGTTCTTGTGGCAGGCGGCATCTGGTATCCATGGCCAGGAATTCTTGGTATGGCCACCTTTGCCTCCCGGGAGCTGGAGCCCTCGGGCGGGTAGCGGCCGTTATCCATTCACTCGGACGTGACCACCTGCAAGTGCTGGGAGAAGGGGCGAAGCACGTGCGCAGAGGCGGAGGTAGAGGGAAAGACTGAGGCGGAGACAACGGTCCGCCTAGATGTCGTAGCGTGGAGTCACGAGTGCAGTCCTTATCGGAGTAGCAGCTGCGTCGTGGTGACGGAACGGGGGAGCATTCCGGCAGACAACCTTTACGCGTTGAACATAATAAGCCAGAATCGGGTAGTTTTCGAGACGAGGTGGGCGCCCATTAGAGGAAGGCGCTTTGTGCCGTGGCCAATGGGCGTCGAGGCGGGCGACGTCATGCTGTGTACGAGCAGGCAGGCACGTACGTAGGCGAGGAGGGAGGTCGAGGTCCGCGAGCCCTGCACCACCCACGTGCAGTATAATAGCAATATTCAAGACGGCGCGGCCACGACCCGAATCGCGTATCCGCCTGACAGGTGAGCCAGCTACTGCCCATGGACGAGAACCTGCAGGTGCCTCCAGCCCGCTCGCAGCCCACCCAGCGCGCGGCGTTATCTCGGGCGCGTCCTGCGTTGAGTCTGCAGCGGATTGTGGGCGTGGGAGCATGTGAAGCTTGTCGCGGCCGCATCACCAAGGTAAGTCGGCGGCCGTGCGCGAGCTAAACCCACCCAGACCTCTGACACGACCAGTGCTCGACCGAACGTCCCCAGTGCTCAGAGTGCCGCAAGCGGCATACGCCATGCAACTACCTTCAGCCTGCGGTCCGGCCCGTTGCTGCCAGTGCCAGGCGATACCATGGCCAGGTCCAGGTCCACGCACACCATCACCCCCAGCATGCCCTCCTCCGGCACATCTTCGCCCATCTGCGCTCCCAGCCATGGCACGTCGCCCAGGACCTCCTCGCCCAGCTGCGTCGCGGCACCGACGAGCGCAGCCTCCTCCGTTTCCTTGAGTATGGCAGTCTGCGTGTCCAGCTCAAGCTGGTCCCAGACACGACATACCAGTTCACCGCTCCCTATCTTGCTGACATGATGCCGCTGTTTGGCAGTGCCGACAACCCCTACCTTGCCTCCAGACTGTACAAGGCCCTGTCAAACGAGACTGCCCATCACGGCACCGACATCCAGGAGCAGACCCACAGCGCCATCTACCACGTGCCCTATCCCGGCGCCCGCATGTACGATCCACGCATGTCGCCAGACACGCTGAGGCCGTCCAAGTGGACTTCGATAAGCGACGACGACGTCTTCCTCACCCGCCTTCTCGAAGGCTACTTCCTGTACGAGTTCCCATTGTGGCCTTGCTTCCACAAAGATCACTTTCTCGATGACATGACTGCTGAAAGGTCTGATTACTGTTCACCACTCCTAGTCAGCGCCATTCTCACCGCAGCCTGTGTAGGTTCCATCTTGACTTCTCCCACTTGCTTCCTTGTGAGCTGACACGATCAACAGCACGGCTTGAGTACGCTTGAGCAGAGGTCCGAGTTTTGGAACCCCAACACCTATAGCTATCGTTGTATGGCTGAGACCAGACAGCTATGGGAGCTAGAACAGTCACAAGCCGTGTGTAGTCTTCCCTCTGCCCAGGCAGCTACCATCATAGGCCGAATATACTTCGCCAATGGCATGGACAAAATGGGCTGGACAATGTGGTCTCACGCTCTAGCGCTTGCGGATAGACTAGACTTATTTGCTAAGACCGCGCAATACAATAACGAGAAGGACCGCATTTCAAGAACCATCACAGCCTGGGGCATCTTCTCTCAGCAAGCGTATGAGCTTACCTGATTTCTCCTTGCCCTCGTCTCCTCTTTCCCTCCCCCTCCTCCTGCCCCTGCCCCTGCCCCTACCCCCAACGTAGTATTGAGATCGCCTCTGATGTAGGTTCAGGTTCTCTTGCTTTTACCTTATGAAGCCCCCACTGTCTCGACTTCCACCTGAGGACGGCTTGCCCGCGTACCAAGACGCACACGACTTCTTTGGCGAGATTTGGGTCAAATACCCTCTTGCGACACACTTGGTACGTCCCCACTTGTCCCTCATGATGGACCAAATTGACAAGCTACTAGACCCCCATCTATCTGGGACAGACATTCCTGTCGCTTATCAAGCTTCGATGCATCATGAACGACATAGCCGGAAAGGCTCTTCCAGAGGACGATGGAGATAACAATCTCGATATTGAGCAGGCTAGTCGTTATCATCTTATGCTGGTACAATGGTTCCGTGATCTTCCGGAGCCGTTACAGCCACAGAATGCCGCCATGCCGACACAGCTTCTGCTACAGTGAGATTTGACACACCTTCCATGTACAAATGACTAACGTTTGGGTCACAGCATGCAGTTTCACAACCTCGTTACCATGACCTTCCAACCGTTCCTGGAAAAGGAAAAGTCTCTCAACTGGCCCAACCATAGTGGCGCATTCCAAAAGTATACAGGCTTCAGTCCGGCCCAACTATATGCTGCCTCGAAAGCGAGTCTGCAGACGCTTCTCCACATGTTCTTCCACCGTCACGGCTTCGAAGCATACTACATATTCCTACTCCAGGTCCTCGTCCAGCTAGGCTTCGATTCGATCGAGCGTCTTCGCACCCCGGAAGCGCAACAAGAGCATTTCCCAGCCATAATGAAAGCTACACGAGCCACGCTCATATTGTGCGCCAAGGGCTTGCGCGACCAAGGCCATAACTTCTTCTTGTCTGAACTCGTGTTCCGCATTTTGCGCGACAAGATGAATCCGGTAGACGTCAGGCTGCTCAAGGACTGGGCGCACATCAAAGACGAAGGTGAAAGGGAGAAATCGATGATGGAACACGTCTATGGCGAATACCCTGTCAACGTAGAGTCCATCACCTCGGATCCGACCGAGCAACGTCTGAATCGGCTGTTGCAGACTATGGCTGATCTCAAGCTTCCCAACGATACTGCTGAGCCAACTCAGCAAGATAGGGCATCGAGGACATGGCGAAGCATCGTTTTTTGAACGCGCCGAGAGATTGGTGGAATCGGAGCAAGGTGGAGGCTACAACAACGCTGGATACAATATACGATTTATTGGTTACTGTGCTATTCGCTACATCCAGCCTCAATGCTTTGGCTCAGAGCTGTAGTTTCCATCTCCTGCGCATCTTCACGTGTGCTCAGAAACCATAGAGCGTGACCCACTTTGTCCGATGGGTCTTTTTCGCCGGCCACTAGTCCTGACGAAGTACTGTAATCCGGGAAAGCTCATCCACCAACCCTTTGATCCACGATCACGATCACCATGGTAAAAGTTTTCTGCGTGCTATGTGCTAGCGGCTAGATCGAAGAACTGAACGAATGGTATGCAGGTGTCCGCGGCCAGACAGCTACCATTGGCTACGGGTAGTATGCCCTTCGAGCTAGCCCCATCTGTATTTTCGAATCGAGAATTATGCGCGTGTTATCGTAAAGGTACAAGTATCGTCAGGTGAGGTTCTGGTTCTTTGATTGGAATCCATGGATGCGACAGGGGCATGCGCTGACTGGTGATGTCACTGCTTGGTTCGGCAGGTCTTTCGGAACGACACATGTCTGGGCGCGGGTTGGTAGGACTGGACACTTGAATAGCGGCACTCTTACACACTCTCTACACCTAGCGCCACATGTTCAACAACGGGTTTTTGATCTCTAATTATATCTTTTCGAAGTCGTGCTGTGCATATGCACCGACCCTCTCTATGGATCTATCGGAAATGCCGACGCTCATCATTGGCTCTTCTTCTTCTGCATCTCCATCTTTCTCTCGCGCTTATCGGCGATCCTCTGGAAAATACTGCCATCGTATACGGCGCGAATATCTTCCTTGTTATTGTTAGCATCAACAGCAACTTAAGATAGGTTCTATCATATCGCGTACCTTCATCATCCGACCGTCTTCGGGCCAAAGTGTCAAATACGTTGCAGTCCCTTGTCTGATATCAGCATTTCACCCCTCATACAATCCAAAAACGATTGTGCTTACATTCAAAGATGAATCCACACATCCCGATAGGATCATTGATATTCCTCTGCCCCTTCAACACGTTCACCAGATCACCCACGGTCAGATAATCCCGTCCCTCGGCGTACTTTGTGAAGATCTCTTCAAATTTCGACGGTATAAACCGCCCCTCGGTATCGTAAGTGCCTGTATCACTACCGTGCCGCGCTCTGTGCACGTTGTTCAGAAAGAGACGGAAGTAGGGGTCCGGAAGCCATCCCGAGCACGTGGGATATGAGAAGTTGATGTGGATGACCAGTACGGCGAAGGCGGAGAAGAAGAGTCCGCAACCTAGGCGGTAGAAGCCGACAAAGGTGTCTTGCGGCCAGAGAATACCATCGTGATCGCGGTCAAAGAAGTCGCAGTGTTGTTGCAGCACGGTTTGGTGTGAGTGCTTCTTTGCCCAGTCGTCTTGCGTGCTGCCTTGAGGTGTTTCCTCTGAAGGAGCGAGGTTTGCACGTGCGACCGCTATTGGCAGTTAGCAGACGACGTAGTAGTAGCGTACCCGCCGTGTGTACGTACCTGCGTGTGGTAGGGTTGATTTCTTCCCTTGAATGTATGGTTTCCTCTCTTGGGTAATGGGTACATTGTCAATCGCGTAGACTGGTACGTCTCCACCAGACTCCGCACGTCCATTATTTCCTTCCATCTTTGCGATCATGATCACGGTAACAGTATGTATGGGAATTAGAGGAGGTTACACACGACAAAATACAGCTCGATTAAAAGCAACGCCCTAGGTATTCGCCCTGCTGTAGTCGCGAGGCTTGAGCCGCATGTTCCTATTGGATCAAGGGCTCACCATGACGTCAATGACTATGTCAAGAGCCTTGGTATGGCAGTGCTGCATCTTAAAAGAGTTTCACGGCTCTGTTTGCCACGTTTGAGACTGTCGGGTCGTTTCCGTGTTGTCACTGTGATTGCAATGTGGCGTGCGTGTGCTTGCATCCTGTACGACGTTGGTTTGCGGCTGCTATCTTTCGAAATGTGGCTCCGCGGCCAATCACCGAAATGTGACCCTGCTCTGGAGCACGCCGTGGCTTGATCTTCAGGTACGCGTCAGACCTAGATCATCCGCGATATATCGCCTGTTCATATACGTCTGCCGTCTACGTGATACATCTTCCTCGACTGTTAAGGCAGCGCATTTGCACAGTCATAGTATCCAACTGTTCGACTTTGAACAGCTGAAGTCAAAACTCGCTCCTCTAAACGTTGTGTGTTCACCGGGGAGTGCATGATGCTAACGTCATGCTCCAGCGGAGAAAGACAGAATGCCATGAGCGTGCCGTGACCTGAACTTTGACGGTTGATGTTTCATGATGAATGTTGCCTTCGATCGCGACGTTGTAGTTCCTTATCCAATGGTAGCACAATTCTTGTGGTGAGATTAATTAATGGTTGCAGACCTGGTGTTGATCGAACAGCGAATCCAATCTGGCTAGCGCGATCTCGGGGATGAATGACGCGCATGCACGGGACCGCGGGAACACGCGCCTTCCAGGTGTCGCGTCTACATCGCATTCTTCTATTCTACTATGTGACTGCACTAGTACCCTCCAGGACTGTCTTACGCCTTCCCGAAACGCGACTTTGGTATCTGACATGAGCCGTCAGTCGGCATGTCGTCCCCATCGCCGGAGTTTCATTCGTCGCAGTTCTCCATCACCTCTCCGCGTCGCATTCCCAAGTCCAAGTTCACGTATAAACAGCTACACCAGCTCAAGACGTACAGCCCGCAGACGCCCCTCCGTGTGATCGCACATGTCGACCTCGATGCCTTCTACGCGCAGTGCGAAACCGTCCGCCTCGGCATCGACCCCTCCAAACCTCTCGCCGTACAACAATGGCAGGGCCTGATCGCGATCAACTACCCCGCCCGCGCATTCGGACTCAGCCGACACGTCACATCGACAGAGGCATTGAAGCAATGCCCGGATCTTATACTACAACACGTTGCGACGTGGAAGGAAGGAGACGAGACATGGGCGTATCATGAGAACAGCTTCAAGGACATGGCGACGCATAAAGTCAGCCTGGACCCATATCGCATGGAGAGCCGCAAGATCCTGAAATGCATCAAGGAGACTCTGCCCGAGAAAGAACAACGCGTCGAGAAGGCGAGTATCGACGAGGTTTTCATGGATCTGAGCGCGCAGGTGCATACCATATTGCTGGAGAGATACCCCGAATTGAGAGGCCCCGCGCCGTACGACGACCCGACGGAGCCACTGCCGAAGGTGCCTACAACCGTGTTGGACTGGGCGGCCGATGCGCTCCTTGAGACAGGCGAGGAAGATGGAGAGGACAGAGATCCAGACTGGGACGACGTGTGTATGGTTATCGCATCCGAGATCGTACGAGATGTGAGGAGACATATCAAGGATACGTTGGGCTACACATGCTCTGGGGGCGTTGCGAGGAACAAGATGCTATCGAAACTAGGATCAGGATACAAGAAGCCAAATCAACAAACCGTTATACGGAATCGCGCTGTCAAGCACTTTCTCTCCGACATGAAGTTTACCAAGATTCGCATGCTAGGAGGCAAACTGGGGGACGAAGTAGTGGCAATGTTCGGGACAGACAAAGTGAAGGACCTTGTGGAACAGCCGTTGGACCAACTGAAGAAGCTAGGCGATGACACCGGCAGTTGGATATATTCCATCATTAGAGGCGAAGACAGCAGCGAGGTCAACCCGCGTACGCAGATCAAGAGCATGCTTTCGGCGAAATCCTTCAGACCGGCCATCAACTCGTTCGAGCAGGGTGTACGGTGGCTACGCATTTTCGTGGCGGACATATTCTCACGGTGCGTGGAAGAGGGTGTGCTGGAGAACAAGAGAAGGCCCAAGAGCATCAACTTGCATCATCGCCAAGGTGCACAGACACGAAGTCGACAAGCACCGATACCCCAAGGCAAACCATTGTCAGAAACCATCTTGTTCGATCTCGCCAAGAATCTCCTCGCTCAAGTTGTCGTCGATGGGAGAGCGTGGCCTTGCTCCAATCTTTCTCTGAGCGTCGGGGGTTTCGAAGATGGCATCACGAACAACAAAGGAATTGGCGGCTTCCTCGTTCGAGGCGAGGAAGCAAAGGCCATGCTGTCAAGTGGCAGAGCTACCGTCGGTGGAGGCGAGCCACCAGCAAAGCGGAAAAGGACGAAAGGCAACATTGCTAATTTCTTCGGCCCGAGAGATGAGAAGAAGAGTGACTTCGATGCTGCGAGAGCTGTGTTGTGGAAAGCACATAGCGAGTCTACAAGGGACGAGAGTGGAGACGAGGCGGAAGCAACCGGAGAGGATCTCGATCCCTTCCAAGCACAACAAGACGATGAAGCACAGCGACCATCGACACCACCATTAGACCGTCACAGTTCAGACATGGACCTGTATCCACTAGATATACCCCCCTCAGCCCAACCCCAGCCCGCGTCACATTCCCCACCACAACAGCATCACGACCCAGTAACACCGGTTCCTCGTGCTAGACCCTCCGTACCGCAAAGACCACCCGAGACTTACTTTTGCTCACGTTGTAACCTCCATCTCCCACCAGGCGAAAAAGCCGAACACGAGGACTACCACTTTGCCCTCGATCTATCGAAGGAAATGCGGCAGGAAGAAAGGAATCCTGCACCGGCCCCTGCGAGAAAAGGTGCTGGCGGTTCGAAACCTTCTAGAGGGCGGGGACGGCCACCGGGAAACGGTGCTGGGAGAGGAGACGGGGTGGAGAAAGGGCAGGCCAAGCTGTTCTTTGGAAAAGGGAGTTGATCATATTGAGTGTTACGACGGGTCAATGTTTGAATGAAGACACGTTGTTTGGAAGTGAATGCTTTCTTCTTGAGCCCCGGATACATTCGTGATAAAGATGCGCTTATCCGCTTTGCCTCTGCGATCGTCCATGACTGCCAAAACTAATGATATAGTCTGACGTTTACGGTCCCCCGTTTCACCACACAACGTCGAAGTCCAACTGAA